CCCCCACTGGGGATCGAGCCTGCAACCCCCATATGTGCTCTGACCTGATCTCCTGATTCATAGGTTGATGCTCAACCACTGAGCCACACCAGCCAAGTGATTCTCATTTGAGGGAAATGTTAGCATGAAAGGTAGAGATAAAAGCAAATAGCAAAAAGAACTCAGGTTATAGAGACAGTGCAGAGATAAGAAGAAAACAACAACAATGTATAATTTATATCCTCAGAAAAGAAGATACTACATTCATCGAAAATAATGAGATGTAGGGAAAATAAAGAAATTTGCAGCAAACAGAAAAGCTTATGGAAGTTAAAATTTTAATAGACGAGTTAGAAGATAAAGATGAGATCTTTCAGAAAATAGAGCTAAAAGACAAGAGATAAAAAATGCTAGGGAAAAAGTAGAGAATCAATCTAAGAAGGCCAGTATCTAAAAACAGAGAGCTCCTGAGTTAGGATGGTTTGACTTTACGATGGTGCTACAGGCATATACATTGATATTCTCTCAGGTTAGCAATATGCAGTTAAGGTATGTTCTCAATCCTGGGCTACTGCAGTGAGCTACAGCTCCCAGTCAGGCCTGCCATCACCAGGGTAAACAATCAAATCCTCTTCTGTGTACCCTGTTGTCAGTGTTTTTTGGATATTGTATTCTGAGCATGTTTAGGTAGATGTGGCTAAGCTATGATGTTCAATAGATTAGGTGTATTGAATGCACTTAAATATTTTCAATTTATAATGGATTTATCAGGAAATAATTCAAGAAGCATTATAATAGGCAGAGGAGAAAGAGGATAGGAAAAAAGTCTAAGGAAGATAAGAAAACTTGCCAGAACTAAAGAACACATCTCTAAAGTTAAGACTCAGCAATTATCACTTCAAACAATTGAAGAAGAAAAAAAACAAAACAAAACAAAACAAAAACCAGCCCCACCACAAACCACATGATACATTGTAAAATGTCAGAGCACATAAAGAGAAGCTTCTGTAAGCTTCCTGAGAGGGATATACAGGTGACCATGAAGTATTGGGGATCAGAATGGTGGTGTGCTATGCTTCTTAACAGCAACACTGGAAGCCAGAGGACATTGAGGAAAGGCCTTCAAAATTCAGATGGAACATGTTTTCCTGTCTAGAATTTTATACTGAGTCAATTTTGGTTATTAAATAATGGGTAAGTAAAGATATTTTTAGACAATGTAAGAAAAAAAATGGAGAATGTGTTATGGTAAGTACAAAGGGTAGAAATACCCTACTAAAAAGAAAACCAACAAAGAAGTGAGACTAAGGCAATAGGATCCACTATGGAAGAGAGACCAGGGAATTACCAGGATAAGTTAAATCCTGGTATGACCATAATTGTGTACAGGCCTAGAGAGCATGTAGTCCAATTTGGAGCCTGATGGAGGAGTACAGGATACATACATACATGTGTGTACACACACATGCACAAATTTTTTAAAAAAATACATCTTTTTATTGATTTCAGAGAGGGAAGGAGAGGGAGAGAGAGAAAGAAACATCAATGATGAGAGAGAATCATTTATCAGCTGCCTCCTGCAACTCCCTCCCTCCCCCCGTGGATCTAGTCCAAAACCCTGGCATGTGCCTTGACTGGAAATTGAATAGTGACCTCCTGGTTTCATGGGTTGCCTCTCAACTACTGACACCGGCCAGGCCAGAGGCATATTTTTAAGAAAGGGGTTAAAACAGATTTCCTCTTTCTTCTCCCCGCTTCTTCTAGGTATTTGAAGAGTTTCTACTGTTGTCAGACCCCAGTGTTAGATTTTGAGGGTAACATGCATAGCCTTGTGTCTCAGTGGATCTCATTCTGGACATGTAAGCACTTATATAAATAGAAAATTATAATACAGTGATTTAGTGCTAAAATAAAGATAAGAAAAATGACCAGTAAAAGTAGTGAAGAGAGTCATTAATTCTTCTAGGCCTAATGGGCAAAAGCTGTTCTTTGAGGAAACAAAGCATTTTCTAGAACAGAGAAGTAGAAGAGCTCATGTTTCTTGGATTAACCAGTTATATTGCATATAAAGCTCTTTATACACTCTTTTTCTCACTTTTGTGGTGTTTTTTGTTTTTTTTTCTGCAAAGAACTTCTAGAGCACATGTGTCAAACACAAGGCCCGCGGGCCAAATCGGTCCCGCCAGGCCTTGCAATGTGGCCCGCACCGCGCTGTCATCACTGCACTCTGCTGCGTTTCCATCACAATGACAGTTTATGACTGTTCAGTAAACCATTCGGCCCACGATTTAGGCTGGATTTTAGATTTTGGCCCCTTCTCTGATTGAGTCCGACACCCCTATTCTAGAGGATTGACTAGGGGAGGCTGTCATCTCAGGGAGTGGTGGGGAATTAAGGAAGGCAGTTTAGTATGTTGTGAGGGGATAAAACAGTTGAGGAACTAGCAAATGGTAAGTTTACATTTGTCTTCCATCTTAACACCTTTCTGTTAGTGGTGATAAAGTCAGGATTTGCTTTTAATAGATGTACGATTTTGGATAAGTCATTTTTCAATAGAGTTCATTTTCTCCACTTTAAAATGAGACGGTGCAGATCAAGCATGTCAAACTCAAAAGCTAATGGCCTAATACTAGTTAACCAAGTTTACGTTTATGTGGGCTGCAAAACACACACACACACACACACACACACACACACACACAAAAGCTTCAATTTTCATAGAAACTTGCTTTGTTTCCTCAAAGTCCAGCTTTTGCCCATTAGGCCTAGAAGAACTACTGACTCTTTCTTCACTACTTTTACTGGTCATTTTTCTTATCTTTATTTGAGCACTAAATCACTGTAGGTTTATTTCAAAAAGTATAGTATTAAAAAAAGAACAAGAGCAATGGTAAAAGTAATGTTTTCTTCCTGATGCATGGCATTGCTTCTGGTCTACTGTCTTTCCTACTTAGGGGGAAATCTTATTCACAGTGATTACTTTCAAAACTGACCCAAGGTGAATATCAGTAATTCTGGATCTGACAGGAGACTTACTTTCTTTCATAATCTACTAGAGGCCCGATGCATGAATTTGTGCATGGGTAGGGTCCGTTGGCCTGGCCAGCAATTGGGGCCAGTTGGGGCTGTCTCAGCCAGTTCTGATTAGGGCCATCAGAGAATGCTGGCCTGGGGGAGGGACTGAAGGATGTTGGCTGGCTGCGGAGGTAGGCTGTGGGAGCGCACTCACCACCAGGGGGCAGCTCTTGCGTTGAGCTTCTGCCCCCTGTGGTCAGTGTGCATCGTAACGACTGGTCATTCGATTGACCGGGCATAATGGTTGCTTAGGCTTATTCATTCAGTCAACCACTTGCTATGGCAGGCACTGACCACCAGGGGGCAGATGCTCAATGCACAGGCATGGAAACATGGAACAGACTGATGAATCTCAGAGGGAAGGGGCTGGAGGGAGGGGAAGAGATTAACCAAAGATCTTATATGCATACTAGAGGCCTGGTGCTCGGACTCGTCATGCACCAGTGGGGTCCCTCACCCTGACCTGCAGGGATCAGGCCAAAATCGATCTGGTGCATGAATGGAGATGGGCTAGACAAGCCCTGGAGCCATCCCTTGGTCCCTCCTGGGCCCCGGTTGGCCCCCATTGGGTCTGGGAGTGATGGGCTGGCCCCTGAGGAGATTGGGCCTAAAAGGGCAGTCCGACATCCCCTGAGGGGTTCAGGATTGCAAAAGGGCGCAGGCCAGGCCTAGGGACTCCACCAGTGCATGAATTTGTGCACGGGATCTAGTTGTAAATAACCGCTCACACTGTTACATTGGCTGGGCCGTAAAAATATTTGTTGTGGGCCACGAGTTTGACATGCTTTGTGTAAATGGTGTTGACAGTCTCTTTCTTAGTAGTTGGGAAGAAATTGAGAAACAATGACCAACGCAGTTTGGGAACACAGGCTTAAACAAAGTTAAATAGATTTCTTTACGTTAGGGAAGTGCATTGAACTCTGGACTTTTTAGCCTGGCCTTGCCAGTGTAAAAGCTTCTAAGATGTTTCCCGCACCATTCTTTTCCTAATGGTTTAGTAGTAGAAAGAGAAGGCGCTTTAGAATCTTACATAACTGGGTTTGAATCCTGACTGCTACTTAGTGGCTCAGTAGCCTTAGGTAAGTTATTTAACACTCTTAACTAGTTTCTTTATATATGAAGCAAGAAGGATAACACCGCCGAAACCGGTTTGGCTCAGTGGTAGAGTGTCAGTCTGCGGTTGAAGGGTCCCAGGTTCAAGGACAAGGGCATGTACATTGGTTGCGGGCACATCCCCGGTAGGGGGTGTGCAAGAGGCAGCTGATCGATGTTTCTCTCTCATCGACGTTTCTGGCTATCGCTCTCTTCTCCTCCTCTCTGTAAAAAATCAATAAAGTATATTTAAAAAAAAAGAAAGAAAAAAAGAAGAAGGATAACACCTTGTGTATTTGGAAATATTTAGTGAAAACCAGTATGAAAATATCAAATGTAATTAATATATAATGAGTTAAAAAAGACATAGCTATGTCCTTCAAATTCCAGAATTAGTATAGAATGTAGTACTTGATAATATGTTACTTATATCTTGTATACATTTGGTATTTGAAAAGTGGGCTGCTTATATGTTTCATGTATACTTACATAATTTTTCCCTAAGAAAACAAATGTTCTTGAAAGCGCATTATTATATTTTGCCATCCACATATCAGTCAGCATTCTGGAGTAAGTGCTTAATAAAGAACTCACAGTTTTATCAAAACAGTGGGATGAGGTGAGATGTGGTTAATCTTAAAATGTTTCATAACCCTGGGTAGAAGTCAGTGAATTTATGAATATTAATTTTCTTTGGTTATTTATGTTAAATGATTTAAACTAAGTTTGGCTCACTGTAAATAAATTGTCCTCTAGGCAAATGATAAGGAGAAAGTGTTATAATTAAGTATTGTTTAATATTGTAAATTATATTCTTAAAATACTAATGCTTTACATTTTGTTTTGTCTCTAAGCAAATGGTTATGAGCCTTAGAGTTTCTGAACTTCAAGTACTATTGGGCTACGCTGGGAGAAACAAGCACGGACGCAAACACGAACTTCTCACAAAAGCTCTGCACTTGCTAAAGGCTGGCTGCAGTCCTGCTGTACAAATGAAAATTAAAGAACTCTATAGGCGGAGGTTCCCCCAGAAAATCATGACGCCTGCGGACTTGTCCATCCCCAGCGTACATTCAGGTCCTATGCCAGCAGCTTTGTCTCCATCTACCATTCCACAGCTCACTTATGACGGTCACCCTGCATCATCACCATTACTCCCTGTTTCTCTTCTGGGACCTAAACACGAACTGGAACTCCCACACCTTACATCAGCTCTTCACCCAGTCCATCCGGATATAAAACTTCAAAAATTGCCATTTTATGACTTATTGGATGAACTGATAAAACCCACAAGTCTAGGTAAGATGATTATTCTATAATGATTATTTGGTTACTTTTGGGGGATACATTTTCATTTTAGAGTTTTAATTTGACACAGTTGATTATTCATAATGAAATTTATACTTGGTAATACCATCTAGATTATAATAATGATCTCCCAATTTTAGACAGAATCATATGTATAAAAGCTATTTTTTAGACAATAAAAGTGTAGTCAAGTTTCTAGTGATGGTTGCTGACACAGTAAATATTAAAATGTCTTCAAGAATATAAACTTGTGAAGTATATTTTAAATTATTGATTAATATTTATTATAACCCTTACAAATTAAAAAATTAAAAACCCAATAATTATTGACCTCTCAATTTAGTTTTTAATTTTCAAGAAATTAAGAAATAGAAAACAAATGACTAGCTAGTTTTAATTATTTAAATGAGTTCATGGTTTTAATTATTTTAAAAGGAGAGTTGAGCTTTGATGTGTAGTATTTCAGTTTCAGTTGACTTTTTAAAGTGGACATATGTGCTTTGCAGGTGCACACATACATAATCATGGCAATAGTACAAATACTTGAATTTCACTTACTGTGTTTTTCCTATAATACTAAATAGAATTTAATTAATCAACTTGCAATTTTATTTTTTATGTATTTTTATTGATTTCAGAGATGAAGGCAGCGGGGAGAGAGATAGAAACATCAATGATGAGAGAGAACCATTGATTGGCTGCCTCCTTCATGCTCCCTACTGGGGGATCAAGACTGAAACCTGGGCATGTGCCCTGATTGGGGATCAAATCATGACCTCCTGGTTTATAGGCAGACACTTCACCACTTACTCATACCAGCTGGGTAATCAGTTTGTAATTTTAATTGCTGTATGCAACCTTACTTTATTTAATGGTAGTAAAACAAACGTTATTGTGATCTCTAATACCTTTGGTATATTTAAAATCAAATTTCCAGGTGCTTGTTGTTATAAATCAGTGGTTTTTGGTAAATATGGCCTACCAGCTGTTTTTTGTGGATCTGAGCTAAGAATTTTTTTGTGTGTGTGTGTGGGAGGGTGGGTTTTAAATGTTCCTGAAGAGTTCTTTAAAAAAAAAAAAAAAAAGATTATGCAACAGAGACCAGGTATGTCTGCAAAACCTAAATATTTACTGTCTGGCCCTCACAGAAAAAGTTTGCCAACCCCTGTTAGAAATAGTTAAACATTTCAGTTTGGGTGATTGTTGAGTGTTGAATTTTGAGAACATTTACTGGAATTCTTTGAACTGGGAGATGTTTGTTTTTATATTTTGCAGAATTTACCTGAATAAATGAAGATTGTAGGAGTTATTTTCATACAACATGAATTTTATATCACATTTTATTTTTTAAATAGCCATAATAAGAAAACTTAACAATTGTTGAGAATCTATATGCTTATGAAGCTTACACATGTTCATTATAAAAAATGAAAATGCCAAGTCCTTTCCTTATTAGCAGTTTAATGTGTATGCATATAAAAATAATTTGTTTATTGTTTTTCAAGGAAGAATCATATTATAGGTAGTATTCTGTGATATCTCTCTTCCCCCCTAATATATTTTAGGCATCTCTCTTTGCCTCATTTATTTATTTACATTTTTAATTGAAGGCCAGATATATACACACACACTTATATATGGCATATATGTGTATATATGTGAGCATGAATATATATATTATAGCTCATATGTTATTAAAGATTGTATACTATTCCATGATTTAAAGTCTTTTATTAAAAGACACATATTTTCAGCGTTTTGTTGCCAAAAACATGCTGTAGTAAACTTCATCTGAGATTTCAAGGAAAAAATGCTGGTGGCTTTTATTTGATTGGATTCCTAGCTCTCAGATTTCCTTATAGTCTAAATGAATGTGTCTTACTGTTTTTATTTTCATACAAGTACCAGTATGAATAGATGTTGTTTACACATGTATCTAAATTTTTTTTTTCAGAGAGTGGAAGTGCAGATTGGACCAGTCATGGTGTTATGTAGCCATAACTTAATCTATAATAATAGATTTGCCAAGGTTTGCCACTCTGTTGACTAATGAGTTTTCTGACCACTGCCTTAGGAAAAACAGGCACAGATGATTCAGTACTTCTAAATAGTTAAAATTTTTTGTGTAGTGTAGATAAGGTGTTTGCTACATCTTAATAATATTGGTTACTAATCTTTTCTGCTAAGGGCTCCTTTGGCATTGGATTATATTTCACAGTTTCCTTTTATTTTTGATAATTGAATTTGCCTTCATATGTCTAATAGTCAGGACTTGGAGATCAGGTGATGCAAATTCAAGGACGTAGGCTCTAATAATTATTGAAAAGGCATTCAAAGATTTTATGCACGCTTCTCTACTTTTAGAAAATTTGCCTTCTAACAATTCAACACAAGCTGTGATCTGCACTAGAATTTTGGGAAGTCAAAAGCCATATTTCTTTCGTAGGTGGGTTTCTTCCCTAGAAACTTTGGCTACAGATTTCTGATTTTCAAAACAAAATCCAAGCTACACCTAAATCTACATTCCTTTGTAAATATTCTTTTTATCTGATAAACTTAATAATTTTATTACTATTTGTATATAGTGACCCAGAGTCTAAAGGAACCTAGTGTGTTTTTAATAAATGGGGGAGGGGGAAATGTATTCTTGAGTGTTATTTCAGGAACTACTTAACAATAGTCTCTTTGGTTGGAAAGGAATCTTAGCAATCAGAATCAGTAAAGAACCCCTCTGTGTAATTATACTTTTAAATGTGAGATTAATGAGCCAGCCATTTAGGTCCAGAAGCAAGTAAGTACAGTTTAACAAAGAAATCCAACGTCTATTTTTTATTGGGCTGGAATTTAAAGATAAAATGTATAGTGTATATAATACTTGAGATGTGCATTTCTGACTTTGCCAGTGGGTCCTATACCATTTTGGTTTAGTCTCCCTGTCAAAATTTGAATTACCATACAAGTTGCAGACTAGCTGGTTTAAGGATGTGGTTGTGGTAATCATGGTACAACAAAGAGAGAACCCAATTTGGCAATCCATTTCTTGAAGAAATTTTGTTGGTAGATATCTGGGGCATTCCCTTTCTTCAGTAGCTATACTATTTCAGTGCTGATAGTGCTTGCAGATGACTCCAGTAGTTTTGTATTAAGATTAGTCATTCTAATTTGTTCACACTACTGCTGCTAAGTTTCTTAAAACAAAATGTAAATAAGCTTTAGATATTCCAAGAATGGGATATTGCAGTGCAAAAGAAGCTGGATGTTGAATGCAGTGTTATAATTAAATTATTTTAAGGTAGGTAAAAATGGTTGAATTGTTTTTAAGAATCAGCTTTAATATATGATTTCTATCTGTTCTTGATAGTTCCTAGAATTTTCTTTCCTCCCTCCCTCCCTCTCTCCTTTCCTTCCTACGTACCTATAATAATAAAAGAGTAATATACTTATGAGACCGGATGTCCTTCTGACAAAGTAGGAGCCAGGAGGTGTCCAACTCGGGTCTTAAGTGCCTGTCGGCTACTGGAGGGAAGCCAGCCTGGGTCCCACGTGCCTGCAGGTGGCTAGAGGGAAGCCAGCCCGGGTCCTTGGTGCCTGTGGGCGGCTGGAGGGAAGCAGCCTGGGTCCTGGGTGCCAGACGAAAGCTGATGTCAGCAGCCAGGGGAAGGAAGGCCTACTCTTGCACGAATTTCGTGCACCAGGCCTCTAGTTTTTATATCTTATATAATAAAAGGCTAATAATGCAAATAGACTGACTGGCGGAACAACCAATACATTCCATTGAATGTATATACCAACCACTTAACCATTCACCTATAGATTAACATTTAGGGTTGTTTAGTTTCATGGTTGTTTTGAGATCCTGCTTATCCAAAAGTGGGAGTACTGGGTCATAATGCTAGTTCTATATTTAATTTTTTGAGGGAACCACCATGCTGTTTTCCGGAGCTGTACCATTTTACTTTTCTATTAACAATGCACTATGCATCCTCACCAACACTTATTTTCTGTTTTTTGTTTGTTTGTTTGTTTTGGTTTGTTTGCCATTATGATGGGCTGAAAGTGATTACAAACGTTTATAATGTAAGGGAAATCTCATTTTGATTTACATTCTTTTCATGATTCATGATGAGCATCTGTTAATTCATGTACTATTTGGCTATTTGTATATTTTCCCTGTAGAAATGTCTCTTCAAGTCCCTTGCCAATTTTTTAATTGGGTTATTTGTTTTGTTATTCTTGAATTATAGGAGTTATTTATTTAATTATAAGAGTTTATTGATTTTGAATATTAACCCCTGATTAGATACTGCATTTTCCGGCGTATAAGACGACTTTTGAAATGAAAAAAAGTCAACCGGGCTTTTTCAGTGGTCTGAATTCAGGTCTCAGCAGAGGGAACAGAGAAAAGAGGATGGATAGAAAGCACCTCACTTGGAAATCTAGGATGGCACTATACCACCACCCTAGCAGGCTTTTTTCTAGAACACAGTGTAGCTTCGGGTACAGAACATGTATAATTTGCATGCATAAAAAGCCTGCTTGGATTGGCCAGAGTCAGAGAGGCGGTCTATTAAAAAGAACTGGTGTTGCCTCGGAAGTGGGGGGTAGTCTTACACAGCGAATATAGGCTTAAACCTATGTTTTAACTGTAAAATTATGGGGTCGTCTTATATGCCTGAAAATACGGTATGTGATTTCCAAATATTTTCTGCCATTTTGTAGGTTTCCATTATACTTGGTTTATTATGTGTGTTTTTTAATACAGGGTTTTTTGTTTTTTGGTTTTTGTTTTTAAATATACTGAGTTTTAGAGAGAGGAAGGAAGAGTGATAGAAAGTTGTCTGGTTTCTGAGTTTGTTTCTCAGTCTTTTACCATTGAGTGTGATGTTACTGTAGTGTTTTTTTTTTTATATATATATATACTTTATTATGTTGAAATAGTTTGCTTATAGTTCTTGGTATTGAGTTTTTAAATAATGAAAGCATATTAAATT